AAAGTGGTGATCGAAAATCATTATATTAAGCTCTCTGTATGTAAAAGCCATAGAATGTAAACATAATTTTATATATTAATTAAATTTTCATCATTATATAAACAAATAAATTTCCCGTACTTTTTTAACAGAATTAATCTATTATTCAGATTTTAATTTTTCTAAAATTTATGCGTTCCTATATAGGTGCACAATATGTGTACAATTATAATATAATGTTCTCATTATTTTATTTTTAACAAATGTACCTAAGCTGTAAATAATATATATTTATAATGATTTATATTATATTTAAAAATAATAACAAGTCTGGCAATAATGCTGTTTGAGTTGTACCATGCAGTGTTAGCGACGATTAATTTACACTAAATACTAAATATACCTACACGAGTTTTTGTGTGTAAAATCGTAAATTGTTTATGTAACACACCCGCAGTATTATACCACCCGTTTGCAGATTTAATAATAATAAACTGTTTATTATAAACATAAATCATACGCGTTAATTAACGGCTAACGCAACAGAAATTACCTAACCATAAATTGTAATTAAATTAGAGTTGAAAAAACGTACCGCGTTTTATCCATCTTATATAATAATATATATATGTGCACAATTGTATCAAATTTAATAACACAAAGCACCAATAACGTACATCAATATATAATATTGTTTCGTTGAAACCTGTTTTGTTATTTTGTGTTCCTAAATTTTTTTCAATTTGTTTCACATTTATCGGCTATAAAATATAGGTACACGTAATTTAAAAAATTATAAATTAAATAATATTCAAAATAAGGTATTTAATGATTGAGCCTGCAGTTGAGTAGCCGGGGTATAACGTTTCCATGGCACCCGTCACCCATCAGTTGGTTCAACAGGGCCCGAGTGTGGTCATACAATTTTTTGCTGGTCGCAAATTGCAGTTATATGCTCGTAATAAATAACATAATACCAAACGATTTTCGAGTCCACATTTTGACCTCAGGGTGCCAATCCTTCTCGTAAATCTTTATTCTACTCTTCCTTGTGTGATCAAACAACGTTTTGAGTCCGATACATTTTTATTCCGACTATACGACAAAATCTCTGATGACTACATATACCATATACATTTCGATATTTTTGACGGATAAATATTTTTATTAAGTCTCGAATTTAAATGTCTTTAAAAATATCGAAAAATGCATTTATGTCCTACAAAAGTGGCAAGGAATTGACACAGGATTTCTGCAAAWATCAAATTAATTCTAAATTTCTGAATCGTTTTATTTAAAAACCAGATTACGTTATGTCGTTTTAGTACAATAGGTACCTGTAGGTATTTATGCAATATTTTTAATTTTTTTTCTCGTAATATGATTAAAAATAGGTTTAAAAGTGATATAACAATAAATAATGTCGTAAAAAGTTCAAAAATGCACTTAAACATCGAATACCTCGAAAAATGGCTAAAAATTTGTTGTTGGCATTATGTAGGTATGTGTTTTCATCTAATGTAAACGTAATTTGTATGGAGTCTTGGATAATAGCAGTTATTAGTTATATATAAAATATAAATAAATATAACTGGCTATAGTAGTTTTACGAAGGATTGTTTTAAGTCGCAAATGTTTTGATATAATATTTATTTTATTTTATTTAGTTTTTATAAAACAAGTATTGAAGTATTCGCTATAAATTCCGACTCAACAAAATCTCTAAATAAAGRGTTTTTCGTTATCCCAGACAAACTAAATTGTCGATGRTCAACGAATGACAAAATATAATATCATAATGACTACATTTATTGTTTATAATATGTTACGCAGTACGTGGTTATGACGTTACAAACCTGTTATTTGCGGAATACAAATAATTATATTCGGTGGAATACATTTTCACCGATCGAATACTATATATGACCTGCACAACATTATAATATCTATTCCCTTATTTTTAATCATAATACGGAACTATGTGTGATTTGTTAACTGCGTTTTTTTTAAGTCACAGTGAATTAATAGSTATATTATATGCATGCGATAAATTTTGTTATTACTATGTGAGTCTATGTCCGAGCTAGGTTTAAGCAGAGTTCGAGACACATATTATTTTATATGCTTTCTAAAATAATATGAGGTGACATTTCGTATTGCACGATTTTTACAAACTTGTAAATAGAAAAGTCATCATGAAACTTTTATGCCATTTGTATATTTTACTTTGTAAGTATTTAGATTGAAAATAATACTAATTTGCACCACTAAAACAGATAGTACGATAAAAATTAAACTTGTTAAATATGTTAGCTAGTAGGTATGGATATCAATAGACAATACAATTAATAATATTAAAAATAATGTTTTCGTTACATTTTAAAGTACATCGAAATGTATAAATAATACATATTGAAAAAATAATTAATCATTAAGAAATAATAATATTCAAAATTGAATTCTAATAAAGATTWTTTTTTTACTGTAACTGCTTTATTGATTTCTAAGCCCGCTCAAATAACGATAAACACTATCGTGTGGACACGAAAGGCATTGCTCGACCAGCTAGGAACAAAGATATAGTGTGGTAGGTATGTGATATTAAATTTGAAAACGACCGCACCTCATCGCAATTGAAAAACGGTCCGGGTGAGTATCGGTTGCTGACATTTTTCTCAACTTTTTTCGCCCGAAGAATTTTGCTTTGTGCGAATAGCTTAGGAAAATTGTGCTGGGAAAATCGAAAACTTACCACTTCAAAGTAGGTACCCTCTTTAAACTCCAGATGTAAAGATGTTATACATTTATTATACTGCAGCATCATGAAACTTAGTGGACATTTATTTTATATGCGCGGCAATAGAAAAGGACAAATAAGAATAAGAATAATAAGAATAATATAATGAATTAATGACTTATAATATAAAACTAAACATCACCGTAAGACCAATACTCATCTGTACCTATTGTTATTTGCTTAGGTTAGGTGTTTGATTCTTGGAATTTAATAAGTTAGAATGAAATGTGCATGTTTATAATAACCKGTTTGATAAAATATAAAAATACAAAATACATAAAAAACCTATATGTGATGTGTATGGTATCACATAATATTTTTTTGGAACATTATTTCATACGCGTATGGCGGATAATAATAATATTCTTAGGTTTCGTACGAGACCGCTTAAAAATCGTATTTTTTGGAACAAATGTCACAGTGATTTAACAGTCTCTCCGTCTGCGCAGAATGATACGAAACCACCGTACTATATGATTAATATTATTTCAGAAGAAATGAAAAAGAAGTTTTGCTGTAGTTTTAGACATTATAAGACGTGTCCTCCTCCTGTGGCAACCACAGACACACACACACATATATATATATACACACACGCAATAAACTGTATACGCGTGTGTTGTACCATATTATATAATATGTTCCCGTTTAAATTATTTCCTGTGCCTTTGCAGACTATATACACAGGTTTACATATAATATGTAATATATATAAATTGCGTATACGTACGCTGCACACATATTATATGTGTGGGCAAGGTACGCGCATGAAATATTTTCGTAGTTGCGACTTCCGCGCGCGTGGCGTAGCCATATTATATATATATATATTATATTGTGTCGGACCAGTAAATCCTATTACCGGAAAACGAAACGTGACGACGAAAGGAATAATTTTCGTACGAGTTGACGGCACACGGCGGGTAAAATGAAAATAAAAACATGAAAAATATAATAATATAAAATATTTGCGCGGTCGCCCTGCCGCCGCCGACTCTACCCGAATTAACTTCTCGAGCGGCGGCTGTAATTTGTTTTACCCCACGGCCGGGCGGGTGCGTTACATCGGTTAAGTATAATGCTGTGATGTGGGTGAGTGAGGTATAAGTGGACATTTTTATTAACGGAAACGAATAGGCCGTAGTAAATAACCAATTTCGTGGGTCACCTGACACCTCCTCGTCCGACAATCCTCCCGCGTCCAACAACCATCACTGGCCAACTGCAGTATACTTTAGTTAGTCTATACGACTCTACGACCCCCTTAGGTCCCGGGGTCACTGAAGTGAGTAATAGCAATAATAATAATAATAATAATAATAGTAACTTTGGCACAATTATATTTGGGTTTATGAGCGCATTAGCAAGCGTATAAAAAATATGAAAAAAATTGTATAGTTATAATATTATTATTGTGCTCCCTTTATTATACAAACGACTGCCATGGGAATATTATTTTCAACGATTATTAATAATAATAATTAGACGATTTTCTTTCGAGTAATTCATATACCAATTTATATATTTTAATATTCGAATCACTATAATATAGGTAATAGTATTCGGACGGAGGGTAGTTATTATCGTTTTGATTTAACGAGAATAATATAATATCTGCAGGAGTACGAAGACGGAGATTTTAGTATCAATAACCTGACTTTAAAAAAAAAAGTAACATTTCAGGAAACGTGATTTTAACTATTATGGAAACGAGTGTAATATTACTGATAAATAAATTTAATTTGGAAAAATATCAAAATAAATAAGTGCTTATTTAATTTTTTTTTTTTTTGAAGTCTAAGTTTAGAACGGTTTTGAATAAATAAGTGGGCGTTACTATGATGCAATTTGAAAAATTGGTGTGTTTACTGTATGGAAAGTTGCAGGTATTGATGATGGAAGAGGAAGGATTTTCTTAAGTAGTTCTTTCGACTGAAATAGCGTGACAGTACCTTACTGGATAAATGTGAACATCATGGTAACAGAAGTGGCCTCCGCAAGTGGAAAGGGTACACGACGGACTGGTGTATAGTGAATAGTGATATTCAGCCCTGAATGTAGAACGCATGTAATAATAATAATAATAAAAACTTTGTATATATACCTACGGAAAAATTCATACTCGTCACACGGCGACATTAATAAAATATTTCAGACATTATATTGTGTTTCCTTTAAAATGGAGTGTATAATAACAATACTACGGCGGTTTTTCAGGACTTACCTTGAGTGGGAGTCGTTTTTTATTGATAACGTCTTCGTGGAGTTTCTTGTAACGTTCGTCGAAACTGTTGTTCCAATATTCTTTACTTTTCATCCAATAAGGCTAGAAAAAAAAATTTATATACATTTATTACATTGCACGTTTAGACATAATAATATGTATATATTGTATTATGCATATTATTATGATATTTCGAAGTGGTTTTAATAATCAAAATATTTCATGTTCTACTGTTTAATCGTTTCGTCTAGACAACCAATATCCGGTCTGATCCGTATAATACCGACCGTTCTTTAAAACCACAAGAATCATAATAGTCTATAAACTATATTAATGTAACATAAATGCGGAGATTTGATGACATTTTAGGAGGGGGGGGGTTAAATCTTTCTTTACAATATAAAAATGAGGTTACTGAAAAAAGTTCAGTACTTTTTTTTTCGAGGGGGGCTAACCTCATCGTCCTCATCTATATATATATTATATACGACCTAGCTACTTATAGTTAAGTCGACCTTAGTGACTATTATAGCAATATGCGATTGTATAATATAAATTTAAAAATGTTTAAAAATAGTTGAAGCCGTTCACTGGATATCACTTATAACCAATTTTTTTTTAACCGGGAAATAAGGTTGTAGTAACACTAATAAAATATAATCTCTCTAATGCGACCTAAAATAACGCCAATATGATTCACTTTACGATTATTTGGTCATAATTCAAAAGTTGCAGTTCATAACGATTTTTGTACGACTATTATTTCACAACGAAATGCATTACATTTTATTATCAAATTCATATCAAATTAAACGGCACGTAACAATAACATATTATGAGCTTTTTACCTCCGCTAGAATGTAAAACTATTCTTAAGTTGTACCCTACCGAAATAATCGTCAAACATTTTAAAGTTATGATGAATGATAWTACAAATGGCCGTCGATATACAACTGCGACACGAACGAGCAGTTATTTAATTGTAATTTTTAACAGTTAAAATAATATAACAATATATTATAAGGTTAAGATCATTGGTTTTAAACTCAAATTRCCAACGGGTCACATAGGAGGATTATACCATCAAAGGTTCATGGGCAAAACTATTATTTTTTTTTATAAATAAATTAATAAACTTAATAAAAGATTTCGATAAAAAGTATTAGTAATAATTATTAAAACTTTTTATATACGAAAAAATATAATTATTATAGGTATTTGATTGTATATACATATTACTAGAAATAACGATACATCTATAATAAATATAATCGTTGAAATATTATTGAAATTGTCATTTAGATAGTTTTGTCGTCTTTTGAAAATATGTTGCTGTGTTGACATTTCTTCGATGTTAATTTGTGTTTCTTGAATATGATATTGTTTGTTTTGCTTTAGTATTTATTAATTTTAATGAAATCCGTCTGGTTTTAAATTCACCGATGTTTATTTATCATTATAATAATATAAAGTACACAGTTTCAAAGCAAAAATATACAATTCATATTTGTCAAAAAGTACCTTTGGTTTAATTGTTAATAAAAAAAAAACTGATTTACATATTTTTTGCCTTGCTTTTTTAGAGTTTAATTATGTTTGTCTAATGGCATTTTTCAAGGTTTTTAGACAAAATGTATGGAGTCGTTGTTTAACTTTTAGTTTACGATGAGATATTTTAAATGTTTAAGTAATTTGTAGTGTACCTACGTTTAAATCCGAGCCTTGAATGTATTTTATTAAACATAGTATTTCTATAGTTAGTTTATATGCGTAGTGTAAAGTAATGTAATACCTACAGTAAACGTATACGGTATACTACTATATATATATATATATATATATATTTCTAGTACTTACAACGTACCTATAACGAATAACAGACATTTTATTTTTAATCAGTTGAACATAATTAATTTTAGTTGCAATATGTTTCTACTATTTGAACGAATTCTACATAAATTATAAATTTAAGATTTAATATTGTAATCAAAATAAATTCATATTTATGAATTTTTACTCATTGATAATTTGGTTTATCGACTATTTTACAAAGCGTACTACAGAAAATATTATAATATAAATATTATTATTTTAGGGCTGGCGAAATTAGAATTTTCTAATGATCGTTATTCGATATGAACTATTTTGATGAATGTTATAATTTAAGGTATAAAAGCATTATACTAGCATGTATTATAACCATATAATAATAGAAATACCAATAATGTATAAGCGCAAACAATGTATCACATTRTTCATAGACCGGTGTACCTACATTTTATTGCAATATAAATTAATGTTAGTTTAGTGTAAAAAAAAAATGTACCAAAAATTTCAGTATAGTGGAAAGTGGATATAAATAACCTACTATATACCTGCCCGTAATATTATTGACAAATGCCTAAAAAAATAGGTATATTGAATGAAATAATTTAGTATTTAGTATTTACCATAAAATGATTTTTAAGTATGTTTAAACATAAAACCAAATTAAAAAATAATTAAATTATATTAAAAAATGCGTTTGATATTTTTTTTATATGCTTTTAAATAATAAAAATTCAACTTATTAAATGACATTTTTGTTTACCCAACTACAGAATGTCACAATTCCGTACACAACAAATAATATRTTATACCTATATTATTGGTATATTCCGAGAAATCATTGTTTGGTACTCGTCATTTCGAAAATATTTTAGAAAAAAAATTTAAAAAGTACTATTTAATATTGTTAGATATTATTTTAAAGAATTTTTGAGACTCCGTTAATTTTGTTTTCATATTCCGAAGTAGAATATTTATCTGATTATTTCGATTTTTCAAAATTTAATTTGATTGAGTAGTAAAAGTTAAATAATTATTAAGAATTTAGACGAGCGGAGTAGCAGTGATCCAATATTTGGTAATATAAGTGTGAAATGGAGTAACAGAAGATCAGAGTCAATGATATGAGTGTAAGTTCATTTTTTAAATAGTTATTTTGGTTTACTAATCCGTGCGTCTTCAAACCTAAAACTAACTGACTAGCTATTTGAAATTTRAAAAATATTTGATTTTAACGATTTTTCMAAAAAATTAAAACAAATATTGTTTTTTATTTATGTATTTGAATCAAATGTGAAATCTTCATAAATTGTGAATAGTTATCACATCAACCATATTAAGGACTAAAAATATTTTCTATAATAAGTTAATTTATAGGGCGTGACACGCAGCATCAATACATAAAATATCAACGCGTTATTGAAATGTATATCATTTATTCGTTGTTTTAAAAGCATATTGGGAATAAAAAAAAATATTCTTTAAAAAGTTCCGATTCCCATCGGTTCATTATGTATGGATGTCTGCGAATCAATACGACGCGCGACGGTTACGGGCTAACAAACAGTAGGTTTTTGGTGGACCATTTTGGTCGGCCAATTCAGTGAATTCTTCACTCTTTATTAACTTTAAAAAATAATAACAATAATAATTTTCCAAACAAAAAAATKTATCATATTATATCAATAATAATATAGTAAGCTGATTAAATAATTCAATTTAGTTTTAGTGCCAAATGTGTTTTCTTTCGGTTTCCATTGTTGTGCATTACGCTTGTATATACTGTTWATAAATTATAAAGTTGGCATTGTATACTTTGTTAAATATTTGGCGAGAAGAAAAGAATTAACTTGGTATATATTTCGGGTTACCGATCGAGAGAAAGATAGAAAATCGTATTTCGAGTGTTATCTTTTATTAAAAATAATTGACACACTCACACAAATGTACCACCTACATATTATTATAAATACAATAATAATATCATAAAATATTTTAGCAATGGTTTTTACTTCTTCGAAAAACATAGGTGTGAGCTCTAAGTGCACTAACGACCAACACAGCGACAGCATATTAGGTATTGAGACGTATTTTCGCATAAAATTTTTGAAAATATCTACACCGTCACTTATTAGGTTCACGAGCTGCCACCRAAAACAACCGTGCAAACATCGATCAGTATTGTTATTATGAATTGACCTATTTTAAAAATCGTATTTTAAAAGTCTAATTATTATAGAGACTACGAAGTTCTCTTCTAAAGTTTTTTATTTTCTAAAAACTGTCACTATGACTTATGTATAATATGATTTRTAAGTTATAACGGAATACTCACACGCTATAAAAGTATTTATTTAATGTAACTTAGGTTGGCCAAGAAAATTCAATGCAAAATGTTCGTAACGAAAAAATGAATTTTTGTAAATTTATTTAATTTAAACATTACTCGATGAGCGAGTATTATATTATATATTATATATAATATATATTATATTTTAATATTACTATTCGCGAGAAGTATTGGGTTGGTATATTGTTTTAAATATTATACTTTCTAGGGCAATGAAACTTAAGTACCGCATTTACTCAAACAATTTTCGGAAATATTTTATATTTGATAATTCAACAGGATGCTTATAATATTTTATGTGCTGCGATATCGTATAGTAAATATTATGAGAGATGTGGTACGCTTAAAATTTGTTATTAAACGTATAATACGCATATATGGCGCCGCATAGCAATCGATATATGATATATCTCTACGCGTGCACTCTTGAACAATGTGAAATACGAATATATCAACATGATAGACCAAAATAACAAGCAACGGCTGACTGAAAACGCAATTTTATGTATTATAACTGCAATCGAATGAAATTGGCACGCGTTGCGGTACACAAACATGATAATAATATTATCATACATAATAAGTATTTAAACTGAGTTTGAACTTTATCACGATGATTAATCACTATGTACTAAACATTTTCGTCCAATCAAACTACGATCATCATCAGTTATCGATTTTATATCATTATTCACAGTGGCGTAACTGAGGTTCCGCAGATCCCATGTTGTGG